GAAGCGAAGTGTTGTATCTAGATCTAGTGCAAAATCTAAGTACAGAGCTATGTCACAGTCTACGTGTGAGATTATGCAGATACATCATCTTCTAACTGAAATTGGGTTGGATCATCATACACCAGCAAAACTTTGGTGTGATAATCAAGTTGTCTTGCATATTGCCTCAAATCCAGTGTATCATGAAAGAACTAAACATATTGAGGTTGATTGTCATTTTATTCGTGAGAAGATTTAGGAAAACTTGATTTCCACTGGCTACGTGAAGACTGGAGAGCAAATAGCTGATTTACTCACAAAGGCATTGAATGGAACTCGAGTTGATTATCTTTGTAACAAGCTGGGCATGATCAATATATATGCTCCAGCTTGAGGGGGAGTGTTATAGAATGTATATAGACTTAAATCTTAGTAATATACATAGCTATATATAGGCAACAGATTTATAGGGATCACTGCAGATCTGTAGGAATCACTCTTTATTTCTTTCCTTAGTTAGCACCTTATGTATTGTATTTATTCACTTAGAATGTATATAGACTTAAATCTAGTAATATACATAGCTATATTTAATGTAGCAGATTTATAGGAATCATTGTTGATACATAGGAATCAATCTTAATTTCTTTCCTTAATTAGCACCTAATGTATTGTATATATTCCCTGCTAACCTACTGCAATAAGATAACATTTTCCATTAAATTACAACTTTCAAACCTGAACAGTTATTGAGATTAAAGACTGTCTTGCACCATTTACCGGACACAGACATCAAACACATTTGTTGTATTTAAACAAGATTGAACCAAGAGTTAAGAATGGAATGAATTCCCTTTTTAGAAATTCAACTTTCATGTTTCTTCATGAGTAACCTAATATACATTTGGACTACAATTTACAATTATCTGCACTCCACTTCTATAGAATCAAGTAGCACCAACTAAACTTTATCTTGGACCAGAGATCTGTTGGGACGAAATATAAGAGAAGTAAGCATTAGAGACGCTCCGAGAGGTTGTATGAGAAGTATTTGCCTGCGGATATAACATGGCATCTATCTGGCCTCCAGTTTCTTCCATGTTTGATGCCTCTGAAAACCGTCGCCCATAGAAGCGTAAAAAGTTTAGAGATTCCATTCTTGGCGCAGTCGGTGGTATCTCTCCCTCTAACATGCTAACAACACTAACCATAGTTGGCCTGAGACATGGCTCCTCATGGACACAGCACAATGCTATCCGCACAAACTTCTCAATATCTCCACCACTGACCCGCCCTTCAAGTTTTGGGTCAGCAAGTTCAAGGTACCTTCCTTGCTCATGCATCTCTAATGCAAATAAAGGGAAATAAACAAGTCCCTGTGCAGATGAAGATGATGAGTGATCTCCAGTAGCACTATCATCAAGGCTGTGACTTTGTGTTCTTAAAGAGCAGTTTTTTCTTCCACTTACAATTTCAAGGAGTACCATTCCAAAGCTATACACATCCGTTTTGTCTGAGATTGCAGAACTTGTGAGCCATTCAGGAGCAAGGTAGCCACGAGTCCCCCTCATTGTTGTGAATAGACTGGATTCTTCACGATTCAGCAGCTTGGAGAGGCCAAAATCAGATATTTTCACCTGAAAATTATCGTGCAAGAGAATGTTCTCTGGCTTCACATCACAGTGAACAATCTTTTGTTCACAGCCACTGTGCAAGTATGCAAGTCCGCGGGCAGAACCAATAGCTATTTCAACCCGTTCTTGCCATTCCAATACAGGTACATGACCAAAAAGAGTGCGATCAAGCGATCCACGGTTCATATATTCATAAACCAATAGGCGTTGTCTCTCTTGAGCACAGAAACCTTTCAACTTGACCAAGTTTATGTGGTGAATATTGCCAATGATTGCAATCTCAGTACAAAAGTCTCTCTGCCCTTGAATGCCTAAATTTATTATCTTCTTTACTGCAACCAGAGTGTTGTCAGGGAGCACACCCTTATATACAGCACCAAAGCCTCCTGTGCCGATCTGAGTCTTGAAATTATCAGTTGCAGCCTTAAGCTGTTTGTACTCAAACCGTACAGGTAATCCTGGGATGGAGAAGGCATCCAGATCCTCTGAAGAAGGAGAACTGGGTTGGCTTTTTTTCGACTCTATCTTTCCCATTCTTTGGGGTCTAGATCTTCTCCACATAATGAAACCCAGCGCCATGAGTAGGAAGATTCCTGTGAAAGGTAAGATCACTGTTGCAACTAAAGGAAAGTCTGCAGCTTCCTGATCAAAATTATCATTGTTTCCTAAGGTTGTTGAAACTCCAACCAGGGTCTTAACAAATCCCAACAGATCATCATTTCTACTAGTCCTTAACATAATTGACCCTATTTCATCTTCAAGTTTGTAACAAGAACCAGACGAGTTTGCATAAAATATCCCCAAGCATGAACAGTCTACTGAGCAGAAATTTTGACAAAGGGACAAATTTACCCCATCCCTGAAGGGCTTGGTAAAATCAGTAGTGAAGTAGTCCATACCAAAGCCAAGTCCTATGTACGACATGGAGGAAGAATTCGACAGATTACTGTGGTTGGTGGAATTACAAGAAACTGGCAAAGAATAGGAACTATCACTAGGCACACAGCTGCTTGAATCATGTGATCCAAGATTGAAGTTAGCAGGACAGGAACATTTAGGATTATCTGATAATACATCAGAGGTGCATACACCAAGCCCTCCGCAAACATAAGGTACTCTACACCCATCCACTGGCCCAGCAAAATCTCGTTTGATGTCAGAGCCAACAAAACTAATAACGATCAACTGACCTGAACCATCCAATTTGGCAATTCTAAAAGTGGATTGTAACAAGTTCACCATTATCACAACTACAGAACCACCTTGACCAAAAAGATAAAGACCTGTTTGATTGACAGACATGTATTCCACTGCATAATTTGAATTAGTATAAGCTTTGGTTTCCATGGACAATTTCCAGTATGTCAGACCTTGCCACTGTAACATAGCATCGGAAGCAGACAAAGAAAGCCTGTAATGACCCTTTGACAAGTCATCGCCTGCTATTGCACTTGAAAGCATCATGCCAACACGCAACTTCTGTCCAATTACAATTGTATCTGTCGGATGATCAAAGCTTTGCCAAAGTGTCCCATTAAACTGATCAAGGAGAAGGAGATTTCCAGTCTCAGTTAGCTGCATCGCGTATACTGCTAACTTTAATGGTGGAGTTGACCACTTAAAACTGCCATCTTTTTCAGTAATACCAATACCCTTCTTGGTCAACCTCATAATTCCTGAAGTTGAAATAGGTGCATCACCATTTGCAGACCAGATAATGGTATTGGATTCAGCATGGATAACACACAAATAGAAATTAACTTGTTCAGGACCGGGATTGAAGATAGAAGCTTTGAATGTTCCATTGCGAGAAACCAAGAAACTTCCGGTGCTATCGACAAATTGGAAATTGGAAGCAGTAAAGTTGGGATAGACAAATTCTTTTGATAAAAAACCAAAGACAGGAATACTGGACAAAGATAAAATGAGAAAGAATAAGATGAACTCCATATAGAGTAATGATGAAAGATAGAACAAAAACAGTTTGGCTGGAAATTGTATAGATGAGGCTGGAATTGGTGTACTATTGCTTTCAGCGTTTGCTTTTTCATTCTTTCCTCTAATGCTTATAGTTGACTACATGAATTAGCTCTGTTTACACCAACTTGATATTGATTGGCGACCAAGTAGAGATATACCATCACATTAGGTGATAGCAACAACTGAGGGCGTAAAATATGACATTTCCAGCGTCTATGTGGCATTACCGCCTGAATCCATGGTTATTAATAGTATAAGAATATTGAACACTCATGAACCATGACCTCATAATATATTCTCTAAAGTCATTATTCAAATAAAAGGTATCGTTTACTTTAAATTTTATATTCACTTGAGGTGACAATACCATTTTTTTTAGATTAATAAATAAGAGTGGTGGTTTCCCACAACTCTAAAGAAATAACACAAAGTGTGACATGTAATCCTTCTGACCAATTGTAGTATACATAGAGTGATAGTTCAATGATTAATTTATTGAAGATTATTGTCCTGACAGCAACTGTTACCTAAATTAAGTCTTTAGTGAGACCCATCATACACTTGCGCATATTTCTGACTTTTCTGACAGCTCATTTCTTCTCTAAAATAATCTACTTCTAAATTTAGCATGTCTAACCTTAATAACAACCCACTAAATTATCTGAACTGATAAAAGAATCATACCCATAATTAAAGTAAATGAAAGTTTCACTGCTAATTTACTTTGTCAGCTTTAGCTATCCTAGCCTCAATCCCACTAAAACAAAAGAAAATAAAGAAAGAGTTCTGGCTTTCTCTTTTCTGAAGACAGAAGGTACTCTAAACTTACTCACTCCGTTCACTTTTACTTATCACATTTGGTCTTCAAACCTAAATTGAATTTATTTATTAAATATTTTAAATTTAGATGTTTGAAAACTATACAAAAAATACTAGTATAGGTTGCAATCTTTCCCATACTAATATAATAAAAAAGAAACATCTAAAAATATCAAACAAAATTAAGACTCTCGAAAAGTGAAAAAGTGAACCAAGGAAGTAATATTTAACTGCAGTGAATGCCCAAAAATGAATACTCTCTCCATCCCATTTCATGTGACACTCTTTTCTTTTTAGTTCGTCACAAAAAAATGTCAACTTACTATAATTAAGAAAAACTATTTTAAAATTCTCATTTTTGATAGAATCATATAAATATCTAAGATCGTTTAAAACTAAAAAATTTCTTTTTTTTCCTTAAAATAATGTATCAAGACAAAGGATGCCACATAAAATAAAAAGAAGTGAGTATTATCCATAGAGGTTATTCTGGCCCGGTTGTTTAAAACTCAATCAACTATACAAAACTTCGGAAGGATCATTCATCATTGAGACATAAAAACAAACACCTTATCTGCATACTCATACCTGTTGGGTAATGGTGCTTCCGCCACCACGAGACGAGAGTGACAAAACAGCACGAGCAATGCCAACTGGGTCGACGCCAAAATGGCGAAAGAATCGTCTATCCTCATAGGCAACCACAGCTCGAATCAAATGCTGTGGACAACTACTCATCACCTCCGACTCAGCTTGTTTAGAGAATGCGATAAGTCGACTCCATCTTTGAGGAAACTCAGGAAGAAGAATAGTGGAAATTATACGAAGGGAAAGAAGAGCGAATGAGAAGATCATAAGAATGAAACCTTTTGTCACAAATGAATGGGGATTTTGGTGAGTACTATTGTAGGAAGATTGCGAGAAGCAAAGTTGAAAATGTGAGTGATGGTTGTAAAGAGAGATTTTAGGGAAGTGGATTAATGGGTTGATTTTCTTGAATGCTCTCACAGAATGTACATTCATGGTGAGTGTTTGATTATTGTGTTCCGCCATGACTGTCCATTGATTGGGGATGGCCAGTGAAGTCATCTTCTAACAGAGATTCAAAGGCGAAACAGACTAGACTGAAGTCATGACAATTTTTCACTTATTTTTTTTTAAAAGTTATTTTACTTTATTCAATTTTTGAATTTCCTCTTGCACAATCACTTTAGTTAAATTTATTTGTCACTTAACAAAATTTTAAAAAGAATTGTTAGCCAACCTATAAGATATTGATTGGCAGGCGGTGTATCGGTGCAACCTTTAATTTTTATAGTACCCTTTTTTTCCGATGAATGCACCTTACAAAAAGAATGATTTTTAAGCCGTAACAAGATCAATTCTTTAAAGAAAACACTAGATAATTATAGAAAAGTAAATAAGTTTTCATGGTTTTACGGCTTTAGCCTTTAGGAGTTAGGACTAACAAAGGAAAAATGTATAATTACTCTTACATATTATGATAAAATATTAATGAGGCTAATATAACTAGAATAAAAATGTAAGTATGGTAACCCTTAACGGGTTAATGGTTTACCCGATAAGGAAATTGAATAATTTGTCCCCACACCAATAAGCCATTAATTATAAAAAATTTAATCCGTTCCCCAATTGTTTATTCGATAACACAATACCAATAAGTCAATTTTGTGATTGGCTTATCGATTACAATTCAGTTTTCAACACTTCTGCACTATGAGAAATTATCTAACAAAGTCATTGTACTTTGTTTTTGTATCAATAAAATCACACGATTTAAAGTTTTTATCTTCAAAAATCATTCAACTACATTTATCATTAAAATAAATTTGATATGGCAAAATAAAATATTTTTTAATGCTATGTAATTATGAATCCCACAAATAAATAAAATTATAAAATCTGTAAAGTTACTTAATTAGTACTTTCTACTAAATTCTCTCTACAATATTAACATAATTATTAGCAAATAATGATGTTAAAAGGATGTCAAATTGAAATTGCAGGTGTAGTTTAAAATAATGTTCTGCATGTTTATGCTTAACTACTTGAGTAGATCATATTGTTATTATCACCTTGTTTTTGTAGAGTTTTCTACTAAGAATTGCAAACACATGGATTGAAATAGCTTTTTATAATAGGGTATTAATCTTTAGATGAACCTATTTGTAGGGGTTAGATAATAAATAGATTATAATTTTATTTATTTATTATAATCATAAAAAATATTTTATTTTATTATATCAAATTTATTTTAATGATAAATATAGTTGAGTAATTTTTTAGCATAACAACTTTAAGTTAAGTGATTTTATTGATACAAAAACAACGTTTACTCACTTTTCTAAATAATCACTTTTCTCTTTTGGTACCTTCTATGCAAATCAGTTGTTTTTCCAAATGGTCTACTAATTTGTTTTCCTAGCTCAAAATATATGAGTTAGTATTTGATATATATGTTTCTTCATAATCTGTTGAATCTAATCTATCCAGTTAATGAGTTTTTCGATTCCTTTTTAAGACATTATTTTTCAAAATTAATGAGTCAGTTTGAATGGTTCTTGTTTAATTAAGCTCTTTCTCATGGCTATTCTATATGCATGCTTCGAATATTGTTAGTACTTCAGTTTCTATTTGATTTTTCTCCAGTCTCCTTTGTGGTTGCATACACTAATTAAATCTCATGAATATAGGAACTCTCTTCTTGATTACCTCTATATGCATTAATTCACTTTTAACCTTCTTGGTTAGAGTTCTTATAATAAAATCTTTGTCATGTTAAGTCTTGGAGAAAAATTTTACAAATCTTGAATTTTCATGCTCTCCACTCAGAGAAAGAAATACTCTATAGTATATATATATATATATATGATTCCCATGTTCAATGTGTTTTTATGTAGTTCCATGTTTGTACTCCCTCCGTCCCATTTTATATGTTACCTTTCGGATTTCAAGATTCAAACAAGTCTATCTTTGACCGTAAATTTTTCATAGATCTTTTAAACATTTTGAATTATCAATTATTGTGACTCATAGTATTTTTACGTAGTTTACAAATATATAAATTTCATTTCAAAAAAATTGAAGATTTCATGCGCAAATTTTTTATCAAACTTAAACTGTTTGACTTTCAAATAATAAAAGGTGTCATATAAATTGGGACAGAGGGAGTATATATTATTTTGCCGAGTCCGGAGCCTAAAGGGCAAAAAAAATTGTCAAAAATTCCTAAAGGGGACATCACTTTTTATTCTAACCAAAAGGGCAACGATTTTTTTATTAAAAATCGCTGCTTTTTTCTTTAAAAAAACTAAAACGGCACATCAAAAAAAAATTAACCAAAAGGGCTTATGACAAAACAAAAATAAAAATCGCTGCATATTTTCTCAAAAAAAAAAATAACTTTTTTTTCTTCAAAAATCGCTGCTATAGCAGCGAATTTGGTTAAGAATTTAAAAAAAAAAGTTTTTTTGAATTTAATATTCTTTTATTATTATTTAATGATATATAATTCAATTTTCCTCATGCTCACAATTTTATTGAGTATACTCTCGTCTTGTTTATCATTTTTATATTATTAATTAGTAATAATAGGCATGAAAATAATAGCACTCGGCATGAAAAACGCTGCCCCTGCAGCGATGTGTATGGAAAAAAATAATTCTGACTTAAAATCGCTGCCACAGCAAAAAAATAAAAATAAAAAAATTTACAATGGCAACGATTTTTAATAAAAAATAAATTTTTTTAATTTTTTTTACAAAATCGCTGCTGTGACAGCGATTTTTAATAAAAAAAAAGAATTTTTTTTTTTTAGACGAAATCGCTGCTAGGGCAGCGATTTTGTCATTTTGTCAGAGGACCTTTTGGTTAGAAAAAAAAGTGATATGCCCTTTTGGAATTTTTGACAATCTTTTTTGCCCTTTAGGTTCCGGACTCTTATTTTGCCTCCCCCTTCTATAGTTTCTTTGTCTTTGTTTTACTAAAACTTCTTCTTTTTGTATCTCCTTTCAACTCGCAGTACTATTTTGGTATTAATCTCAGATTTTGCATTGTATGTAAAATCATCAATTACAATATATTGCAAATCTTCATTGATGATCATCTGATCAACTTCTTCATCCTCCCATAGTGCCGGCAAAATGAGCCCATATTATGATAGCCCTCCCAATCCATTCATATTTTAATGGGTTGGGTGAGTGACTTTTTACATAGGTAAAACATGGGTTGATATCTATATTCAACCCATAAAAATATGGGTAAAATATGGATTAGCCAAATGGGTTAAGCTTCTATCTTTTATTCACTCAAAATTCATGATATGACTAAAAAAAAATTGTAACTTCTCTTCCTTTTTATGTTCTTCTATAGAACTAATTATTTTTCTCTATAATTGAAAAGGTGAAGTCTTTGGCCCTCCAAAAAAATATATTTTAAAGTATAAATTTTAGGAATCACATAGTTTTAATATGAAATTACAATCTATCCCTATT